GACGGCCTACCTAACACGGGGTCTGGCGGCCTACGTGTTAGTGTGGGCTGGCCAACATTGGAGCCTGGCCGCCTACCTGACAGGGTCTGGCCCCCTGCTTGTAAGTGTGGGCCGGCCTACACGGGTCTGGCGGCCTACCGGGCAGGGTCTGGCCGCTTACGTGTGAGTGCGGCAGAGCGGACGGGGCGGTAAATGGTGACGGCTGTGCTCAAAATGGTTCTCAAGTAATGGTTGACTGTTACTGCTGAGTGCTTATGTTGTTGGTCTTTGGTTGTTGTTGGATGGTGGTTTTAGACCACTTTTCCTCATAGGTAAATTCTATTTGTTGACAGACAAATCGTTGCGATTTAATGACAGTCGATCCCCATTTTTCTGCATGTTTACCTTCCCCAGACATTGACATCGAATCCAAATGAACTCCTATTCAGTTCCTCAATTTTGTGCACAGCTGATATTACAGTGGGCATCCCTCTGAGACTTCTTGGGCTAGTTTGACACCGCTCCCGGTGCTCTCCCAGGCCGCTGCTGGTGGAGATAAACAGCGAGCCGGAGCGGTTCCAGCACCGAAACGTGCGCCGGGCCGCCGCGCTGGCGCTCTCCAAGTTCATGCTGGTCTCCTCTGTGGTCTGTGAGGAACACCTGCAGGTGAGAAGGCCGGTCCTGGTGGTGGTGGTGGTGGGTCTGGTGCAGTTTATTGTAATCACATTTTGTCGGCTAACATATCCGCCGAATGATTTCACAGTGGACGTATTCAGTGGGCGCAAAATGAGCTTTGTACTAGTTTGTAGTCTGTTTGCCCTAAAGCCCTATAAACAAAGAAACGGCAGTGGTTCGATTGAATGTGTTCCGTACTGAAATGTTTTACGTTTGAAGTGCGTAATAACGCATAACATGTCTCCAATATCGAGTCACGCTTTCTCTGTGTGGTGCGTTTCAAGTCCAATTTGGCTGCTTCCGCTAATAAAATTCCTTTTTATCGATGGTCATTTCTCTCTGGTTATGACCGCGTCGTTCCCGTTCAGCTGCTGTTCACGGTGCTGGAGCGCTCCAACGACGACATCATCCGCTCCAACACGCTGGTGGCGCTGGGCGACATGCTGTTCCGCTTCCCCAACCTCGTCGAACCGTGGACGCCCAACATCTACGCCAGGTGAGCTGTCCGCATGCCCGGCCTCGCTACGCCAAGTGAGCTGTCCACAGTTCGCCTGTGAGCCGCTTTAGATGATGGTTTGGTGTATGGGCCTTACTGGCCATCTGCCTGGTGACTGATTGGTGCAATGTGTGACCTGTGCCGCACGAGATGTCTGTAAGACGCCCCAATGCGTTTCCCTCCCTGCCAACCTTCCAATGTACCCGTCTGTGACACTCGTGTGTGACCTCTGCCCGGCAGACTGCGGGACGACTCGGTACGGGTGCGACGGACCACGCTGACCGTGCTTACCCATCTGATCCTCAATGACATGGTCAAGGTCAAAGGTCAGATCTCCGAGGTGGCCGAGCGGCTCGTCGACTCGGAGGAGACACTGCGAGGTGAGTCGGACGGGTGAAACAGACAGACACGGATGGATGGATGGATGGGGCTGACGGACGGAATAGTGGGTGGCCCGGCGGGCGGATTTGTGGGGGATCATGGGATAGTGAGTGTGAACGGATGGAGGGTGAAATAGACGGACAGACAGGAAAGTTGAACAGACGGATAGATTGAAGAGACGTACGGACGGGCATCCGGATTGAGTGCGATCGATGAATGCCGAGCTACGGTGTCCTTGCGTGTGATGTTTTGATATTCAGCTGAAAAACCGTTTTTTATTAAATCACTATTTTCGAATTCGAGCATCCTACTGGGATAAATGTTCGGTGGCGTCTGGGAGTCTAACTCCTACCTGACGATGTCTATCCATCCCGGCACTCACCTGATCCCCCCCCCCCCCCACCTGTGTCCGTGCCTTGTTTCAGTGATGGCGAAGGAGTTTTTCAGCGAGCTGGCGCACAAGGGTAACGCGCTGTACAACGTGCTACCAGACATCGTGTCGCGTCTCTCCGATCCGGAGGTCGGCCTGCCGGAGGACGATTTCCGCACCGTCCTGCAGTGAGTACTGTTGGAGGAACGCTCCGAGGAGCAGCCTGGTGCTATCCAAGCCGGGTTAGGATGATTGTAGCTTACTCGACTAATCCGTTAAAGGGACCCTCCCACCTTAACATTAGATTTGAGTTGAGATAGCCAAAATGTGGTCCCTGGCTCACAATTACCGGTTTCGGCACTCACAACATCGAGAAATGCCTTAAATCGGAAATATTGAATTTCAAAATTGCAGCATTTTGATTCAGAGGGGCTAATGCTTAGGAATACCCCTCTGAATGTGTGACGTCAGCGCAAATATCTAACGATTTTTAAATGTTTGACTAAAACGTTTTGTAGCACGCGGTGGTATATGCTATTTGCGCGCAACATCTGCCGCAAACGCCGCACTTCTAAAATAAAGTCGCTAGAAACAGCGGAGATCCCAAAAAAGTAAACAAAAGTAAAAGTCTAATATCTTGAAAACCGGTGAATATTTTTCGGTGAAATTTGGTAGATATTCGTTTTCGCTCTTTCTGAACCGAGCGACATCACTTTCATGCCAATTCATAAACTTTTTTGAAGGTGGGAGGGTCCCTTTAATGTGATGCTGTTGTAACTTTTAGGAATGTGCCCATGGTCAGTTTTCTAGCGCGTTTGTAGCTTTGGGTTTGGCGATGTAACAGCCGTTGATGAAATTCTAGCTGACGTTTTCGAACGATGAGTTACAAATGTCCACGAAAAAACGATTCGCTGTTCGAAAATCGCTGTCGCTGAATCGTCGAATTCGCTCGTCGCTCAGCCAGCGCCTCTGATGCCAAGTCCGGCGTCTGACCGTGTCCCCCCTCTGCGGCAGGTTCGTGCTCGGGCTGATCCAGAAGGACCGCCAGCTGGAGTCCCTGGTGGAGAAACTGTGCCACCGTCTGCGGGCGGCGGCCGAGCCCCGCCAGTGGCGCGACCTCGCCTTCTGCCTGTCACTCATCAACTTCAGGTCAGACGATCAGTTGGTTCTGAAGACCGTTGCACATATGTAAATGGCACATGCGTAAACAAGTAAACGACACGCATGCTGTCCGTCGATGGCTAGGATAGATAGTTTGCTTTTGTCACTAATGCCGTCGATGAACAAAAAATACAACACCGCTGTTTTTGTTCATCGTGTTGTTCATTAGTTATGAATTAGACTCGACTGTGTGCTGGATCTATCGTTTCTCCGGTGAAGTTTAACCTCGTTGCCTGTTCTGCATTTGACCTGTGACTTATTGATTTCCACCATTGCAGTGATCGGTGTGTGAAGAAACTTCTGGAGAACTTCTCGTGTTTCGCCGAAAATCTCCACGAAAAGGACGTTTTCGACTGCTTTAGCAAGATCGGAAACGACGCCAAGCAGGGGGTAAGCAGAATGTAAACTTGGATGACTGGAGTTATGAATGACATGAACGCTTTGAACGTTTATGTAATGTAGACTTTGGGCGCGAGGTTATTGCTTGTCCCTCTGACATCGAAAGTTCGCCCGACGTCGCGGCTCACACCCTCTAGCCGTCTGACCTATAACTCTCCCCTCCAGTCCAAGTCGGGCGAGGCACGCGCTACCTGCGAGGAGTTCGAGACCCGACTGAAGGAGGCACGAGATAAGGCCGTGGAGGACGACAACGCGGCCACGGGCGCCAACCGAGCGGCGGCCAAGAAACAGGCCGCAGCAGCCGCCAAAGCAGCGCGTGAGTGCCCGGAGGCTTCACTGGCAGATCACGAGATATTGGATTATTGGGTCCTCAGGGTTGTTTTTCCGTTACTTTACGGCACGTGATAGTTTGATGTAGAACGTTGGGCCAATCTTGTGATGGCTTGATGTTTGACGTCAATAAGTGATTACGGCAGCTGAGTTGTGGTGTGATGGTAGGTGGTAGCACTGCTATAACAAGTTCTCCGTGTGTTTCTGCAGGCGCTGAGAAGGCGGCCAACATGCCTGCGGACCTGACGCCGCGCCGGTCGGCGTTGAGCGCCAGCCGACAGCGGGCCACGCGCCGCAGGACGGCCTCGTCGAGCGACGGAGGGTCCTCCGCGGAGGAGGAGGAGGCCGAGGAAGAGGAGGAGGAGGTTTCCCCCGCGGCGCGGCGGGCCGCCGCCAGCTCCGGGGAGGACGCAGAAGAGGAAGAGAAGGAAGAAGAGAATAGAGAGGAGAAGGGAGAAGAATCAGAAGAAGAGAAGCCCCGCCCGGCCGGCCGGTCGGCCCGCGGCGGCCGCTCGACTCGAAAGCAGTCGAAGCAGCCGGCGGAGAGCGGCAGACCGGCGCGACAGGCGCGCAGCACTCGCTCCCGACGCTGATAGTTGTACAGAGTCGCCTGCGCTCGGACCAGCCTTCCGCGCCACTGTCTGTGTCTTCTCCTCGCGTCTTCCATAGGGACTGAGGTCTGTGGGGTATGCCGCTGTTATTCTCTAGTGCTGATAGATCTATGCTTAGCGAGCCGGTGAACGATGGACATTTTTCCGAGCAAATGTTTCACGTTCTGATTCTCTAGTGCTTGAAGGTAGTTCTCCGCGCCGGTAGTGGTTTATTTCAGTGTTTGATGGCGCCATGTCACGAACTCGGTAAGCGCTGTAAGGTTTCACGAATGCGTGAGACCTTTCGTTTCTCGCTGGGATAGTTATGTTAGCGTGGCGGATGTGAGCGCTAATCCATTTAAAACTGCCTTCATATTTCATGTCATCACAAAATACATCAAATAGAATGTCACACCATGACTGTAGTTTGGACCGGTAGATCGCGTGTAGTTGTCCAGATCTCAGGCTCGATTAGGGGCTCTTGAAGGAAGTCCTAAGTAACTCAGTATTGTAGCAAGATAATTCCTTACGACAAGGCACTGGCACCCGTCACGGTAGTCAGGCTTTTCATGTGTCAGGACATTCGGGAAATGACACCCATCGGCAGAGAATTCCGAGCCCAGTTTCGTGCAGATTTATTGTTCTTCCACATTGGTGTTCAAGTCTCAGTTCATGCAGTAATCGCACAACATGTAAACGGGCGTGTGCGTGGTGCCAGCTCATAAAATTAAACAACGACGTAACAATGGCATCGCATGTGACTAAAACGGTGACTAGAAGGTCGAGCAACCTATGCGGTACCTACGCGGGAACTCTGAGCTAATTTCGTCACAATTGCTACACTTTTTGTTATTAAACGAGGTATGTGCCAGAAACGTGGTACTGACAAAATGAAAACGTCCTCTTGATTAGGCCCTACCTGTAGCTTGGGAGGAGCGTGCTCCATGATTTTTCTCCATGATTTAAAACTGAATAGGCAGGTGGACGACGAATAAAATCCCACAACAGCACAAATAATAAATGTCACACGGTTCGACTCACTACGCATCGCTCTCGAAACATGTCGCATAATTCGAATAATGGCTGGTAAAATATCAGACGGCAACAACCAATCGTCATACTAGGACTAAATAATATAACAATACAAATGTATAATGATGCAAAAATGTATGCAGATGACTCGTAAGAACACGCATGTTATGCGTGGATCGTAGATTTTCTAACCAATAACGCATGGACTAGAAATATTGAACCGGAATCAATGTTACACATCATTTTAATTGGAACTAGTCAGAATACAGGCATATCAAACATATATAAAAAGGTCTCGTAATGGAATATCGCATCGCATGGATCAATTCGTGTAAAGTCGAGGATCGTAAAACGTATCGTTACCTCTCGTCCAATCGCGGCGTCAGCCCTAAATCGCTCTAAAAGCACAAACTTACACGTTAGCGTACGGGAAGCCGGCACAAGACGTCTCTAGCCGTTATTACGCTACACACGACGCCCTATCTCCCCTAGAGCACTGACTAGCCAATACCAGACCTGCGTACAGGCGAGCTAGACACCGACCCGGATGGACGGAACAGCGGACGGACCGGTCTCGAACTCAACAACTTCCATCGCAACTACCAGCCAGCGGGCAACGCTTATGACTTTAACCACGTCCTACCAACTGCGTGCAATGCACAGCTATCTAACCAATGCAAGCGCAATCCACTAGCATGCAACAATGCAGATCTAAAACCAATCTAAACCTGCAGTAGGTAAAGACATGGATGTCTCGTTCCTCTGTTGATATGTGGGAAGGACCAGTGCCGCACCCCGCCCGTCCCTCGGAATCGGGCAGCTATGGAGCCTTCGTCTGGATAGACGGGCCTGACTGGCGTCATGGCGGTACCTACTGGCAGTGAGAGCTATGGAGGACCGGGCTGGCCGAGGACAGCCGCTGAAGAGACGGTCCGGGTGGCTACGTTGCGGCCGGACTGAGACGGGAGACTACTAGTCCAGCCGGAGATCGGGTCCTCAGTCGTGAGGAGATCCTGGCGCCGATGGTATCAACCTTCCTCTGGCGTGGGCTCAGCCAAACCTCCGTCCTGTCTCGCCGGTCACCGGCGTCAGCTCCAGGCAGTTCACCGGACCCAGACGGACCTTCCCCTACCGACGGCTGTCTAGCTTGCTCAGTCCTCCAGCCAGCAGCGGCAGTCGAGCCGGCAGCAGCGGCGGCACAGCCGGCGATGGCGCCGAAGTCAGGAGGCCAGTGCCTCGCGACGGGCGCGCCGGGCCGCCTGCAGGTAGAGCCGCCGGTACAGCTGCTCCATGTTCTGGTAGTAGGCCTGGCGCTGACTGGTGCAGCCGACTGGTGGAGGAGGGTCCAGCCACGGTCGGCCCGCCGAGCTGCTGGAGAGGGGGCGCAGGGAGAGTAGGTTAGCGCGAGTTTAAATGTGATGCAGGGTAGATGGATAGACGGGTACCCCTGGGAGCATGATTTTGGAGTTCCATTTTGAGGACCTTCCCAATGTGACATATAAGTGCATGTATGGCCTAAACTTCCCAATCATGTTTCGTGCTTCGCTGACTATGCCCGAAAATGCGACAATTGCTGACCCAGCCTGCACTGTTAGTGGCACAAAGGTAATCCATGGCCGATACAAGGCATACCGACGCACACTCTCTGAGCCCTGTCCCAAATTGAAAACTGATGATTTAGTGTCCAATTACGTATTCGATGTCAAAAGTAAAACTAACGGCCTACCGCGAGACCCACCACCGTTCTTACTTGTCCCCTGTCTCCCGTGAGATAAACCATCGCTCTCCCATCTCCCGTAAGACAGATCACCAATCTCTCCCCCGTCTTCAATAAGTGTCATCGTTCGCTCCAGCCTCACCTGTCGTCGGAGCTGCAGTCGGAGTCGTGCAGCCACCGGCTCGAATAGCGCGGGGCTGGCGCCGTCACCTGGCCAACAGTGAACACAGACGTCAGCCAACACAGCTCAGCGCCGGAGACTGGCAATTTCAGCACATTAGCTACACTTTACCCTACAGGCTGTAACTCAGAGCCCGTCACAAACTTTGGCGAATCACGACACGGTCACTAGCTCATACAGAATATGTTACTATCAACTGTGAGTCTGTGACAAATGTTCGCGATACTACCTCAGCGTGACTAAACAACCCATAGCGTGGCCTCCCTGTCCACTCAAGGGATGGCCTCCCTGTTCACTCAAGGGCCGGGCTCCCTTCAGCCGCGTCTGAGCGACACGTACTGGGCAGTAGCAATTGCAGCAGTCCAGGTGATGGTGACCGGGGTAGTTTCGGCCAAAGTAGCGCCGGTACGCCTCACAGACGGCACAGCGGTGGTGGGTGGTGTAGGCGCCGCATACGTAACACCAGTCTGGAGGAGAGGAGAGCCGGTCAGAAGAGTCTCAGGGGGCATCGTATCGAGGAAAGACGCGACAAACGTGGAGGGTTCCGGAAGTGGTTAGTTCACTTCGACAAACGAGAGCTGCGTCAATGAAGTGAAGTGTTCCCTGTTCAATAGCAGGTAGGTCGTAATCGATGGTGATAATACGATCATTGCGTCATTCTTTTCAGAAGCAGCGATGTGTGAAAATATGTAGGCTAGCACTTAAATATATTCGTGTCAAAGTCTCGTCATCTTTTATAGCGTAGCGCCCGGTTACATTGACGTTATCATTCCCCGCGCCAGGCCGTTCCCGATCCCACTGTTCTCGTCCGCAGGTGCCGTACCTGACGGCATGTGGAGCTCGCTGCGGTCGGTGACGGCTCCCACCCCTGCTCCGGTGGTGTCAGGCCTCTCCAGGGAACGGGAGCGCTGCCGGGAGCCGGTGGCGGCCGGCGCGCGGGACGCCCGCTCGGCACTAGCACTGCGCGGCCGCTGTGCGCAGGCGCAGTGGCAGTGGCGGCCGCGGCCGGTGCCGGCCAGCGCGCCCAGGCTGCGCGAGCGCGGCAGGGCCGGCGGCCGGCGGCCGGACGGAGCGCCCGGCTGCCGACCCAGCAGAGCCGTGTCAGCGCGCCGCCAAACGAACGGCGGCCGGCGCGGCGTCGGCGGCGACTGCGGGGCTGCCTGCGGCGCGCCATCCACCGTCAGACACGGACACACAGACAGACAGGCGGCTCAGGAGACTCTGTACGGAGTCTGTACGGAGTACGGACTAACTACAGGTCCCAGTCAGCCGGCCTGGCCACACAGTCCTGACTACAGTAGCTGGAACCGGGCTAGGTCAACTGGTGTCCCGGTACCTGACGAGGGGCTGCAGCTACAGACAGCCGGCACTGAAGCTGTCCCAACAGCCAGTACACCCACTCAAAATCGCTTACGAGTTGGGGAAAATGGACAAATGAAAACTGTACAGAATATCTACAAAATGCGACTCACAATGGAATGACTCACCAAACATGATAACCAGAGCTCTTGATTATTAATAAAATGATCAAATGCCAATAAATATATGGCAACGTATATCTTATAGAGAGGAAGTTCCTTCATATTATACGATATGCATAGGAAAAAGAGGACATGCCTTGCTGTAAAAGCCCATACTTACTATGGGTATAACAACACTGGTCGCTCACAGCGACGCTGTCCGGCTTCAAATCCCCAAACCCAGTCCAAATGTCAAAATTACCGGACCTATAAAACGTGAAGCAAGGCCATGGCATCCCAAGAATTGAAACTACGTCCTACGATGCAGAATATTTACATATTTCATGCATGCACCTCTATTATACATAGCACACCACCAGAATTAAAACGATAAATAATGTAACATTATCTATCGCACGTTCCGTTTTCCGTTGTTAGAACATGTTACATTGTACTGTTCACAAAACACTAGGGTTCTGGGAAATGGTACTAAACACTAAAATGTACATGAAACATACACCCTTTGTCGAGTGTTGCATATTTTATCTCTACCATTAAACATTTGCACACAACAAAATATCCAGCTGGAGCGCTGCTGCAATATTTGCGGGGCGTAATCGAAACAAGTTTCGGCATTGATGTACCGCCAACGGCACCAAATCGTTATCAAAAATAATATTTTGAGAATCTATGAATAAAATAAGGCCGCTGCGGAATTATATCGCCGTCGGGTCAGCGGGACAGGCCGACCCGGCCGCCGGTGGGGCCGGGGATCGATCGGTGACCTAGTGACAGCTACGGGACGCGCCGGGACCGGGCGCCGGCGCCCGCCGGGACACGAGAATCACCGGCCCGGCACGCACAGCAATCAGACCGACACGCAGCGCGCCGCTGCCGGCAAAACAACCGGACCGACAGACACCCGACAGACACGGACAGAACCGAGGGAGCCGGTCAGGCGGGCGGTCCGGGATCGGGTGGAACGGCAGGTACATACAACAGACGCAGGACGGAGCAGGGGCAGGGGTGGTGCAAAACGGGAAGGGACACGGTGGGATGGACGAAGATGGTATATCATTGACTAGGTACGGAGTGGGATGAAGGGAGGAGGAGCAAAAATGGTGGAGAGAAAGCAGGACGATACGGGATAGGCATGAGAATAAAAAACGCAATATTACCCCCGAACAAATTGGAGCCGATTGGAATAAATGGATTCACGATACACTTAGCTGAATATATTCACAAACAACTATCTGAAAAGTACGAACGAGTCGAACAAACGTCGACATAGAGCGGACCATCAGCGGGTCCTCGTTACCTTAACGACGGCGCCGTCGCTGCGCCCGGGGCTGGTGCGTCGTGTCGCCCTACGAGCCGGAGAGCGGCACATGGACGTGCGGACCTCCTTGGCGGTCGTCTTGGTGGACACCTCCAGTCGCGGAGACAGCGAGCCCTGGCAGAGGAGACAATAGTGATGTTCAGCACTGGGTACAACGGAGTTAGGAGAAATGAGAGAAAACCTGACATCGACAGCGAGAGCGCTCACAGAGGGCTGAGAAGAGAATTCTTGCAGAGGAAAGGCACAGCAGCGTTGGTCATTTGTATATGTTTATTCTTAAGTATCCACCAACCATTCGGTCATTTATTCATAAAAAGAATGCTAGTAGGAAATCCAAGTGAACGAATGAACGCCGAAACATAGCATTTTCCGAGAACACCCCTGCCAATATCATAATATTCATCAGCTTGCATCATCCATGTCACTATCTCACGAAGAAAATATGTCTACTTCAACATCAGCTGATGGGTAAAGAAGCAGCCGCCACCGCCCGGGCGCGCTGCACTGACCGGAAAGTGTACGGTGGGCTCCATGAGCAGGTCCAGATCTGCCCCCGAGTACTGGGGCGTGGTGGTGATGTTGGGGAACAGGAACTCGCGCGCGGACGTCTCGAACGAGGCCAGCACCGTGTCCGGCTGGAGTGGCGCGCGCTGCACCAGCTCGATGTAGACCACCTCGCGGTCCAGGATGTCATCCAGCTCAGCCAGCTGGAACACGTGACTGAACACCTGCCCGGCAGAGGAGGAGAGGGTGAAAGCATTCATTGTTTGTTTATTGGGGCTTTAGGGCGCGTTAGGTACAAGTTCATTTTGTGCCCATAGAGAGAATGGTCAGAAGCAGAGAACACCTTCTATGAAGATTGAAGATGGTACAAACCAGCCATAACCCATCAATTAAAGTTTTGTGCTGTTCATGGATGATCAGAAAAACAGCGAATAAACAAGACTTAAGTTTGCTGACACAGATGACTGATGCAACTCAGCTTCGTGAACTTGGAACTGTTGCTGTTATACTGACTATTTATTTTCCTACCTATACTCACTTATCTTTGACAAACACAAGACCCTCAAGAAAATTTGGAGATACTAATGCTATGGCTGCTTAGTTCTTTTCTTACCTTTTCTATAATGAATTTTTCGTGAAACATCAGTGGGAAGACTGGCGCTGCTTCTCGAGTCTGTATGTGGTGGCCCAGTATGCAGATACTGAGATATGTTGTTCCCCTGCTGGAAAGCCATACTCCAGGGCAAGAAACCTGCAAAACAGCATCTTAAAATCAAGCTTCAGCCTCTCCTGAGTCCTGACACATATAGAAGCTTTTAAGTTTTCTACAGATGAGAATGAATAGTGACTTATTAGGAAAAACAGAAGCCTTAGAGTGCAATGTAACCACCAGCAGTCAATTCCAAGCAGTATAGATGAAAAAGCTGTGAATGAGTTGTACCAATGGATGAGTACCAATGCAATACCAGTCAGCTCTTTGGTGATGGGGAATGTCCTAAACCAAAGTAATTTCAGAGTGGTGAATAGGTATCATCTATGTTTCAAATGGTCTCTCACAGCCAGTGTTTCATATGTGACTTTTATGTGTCCAGGACTTCTAAGGTCAGCTGAGCTCACCTGAGATCCATCTGAACTTTGTCATTTAGCCAGTGAAAAGTCAGCATTTGACATGTTTTGACATGACAAACATGCCTGCCTACCTCTCATGGATAGCTGCAATGGTTAGCTCATTTTTCCACAAGGCTCTATATAACTTAGGGGTAAGATCATTCTTTTGATAACAACAAAGGTAAGGTCAAGCGCAAAGGGGATAGTATGCTGATGAACTGCCCCCCCCCCCCCCCCCCCCCGGTGCCATTAAAGGATGCAGAACAGCAAAGCCAGCAAGGTTTCAGTTTAGGAATGTTAGACAAGGGATGTCTAATCATCTGTAGTCTAACAAACCTAAGAAAGAATGGATTCAAAGTGCAATGGCTCTTAAGGCATATGCATAATGCATCTATCTATACTGAGAATACATATTTTCTCTCACAGCTTTTCACACAAATTTCTCTGAACCATCCATTTCAAGTGTTAAAAACATGTGGTAAGTGATTCAGGTGCTTTAACTCTTAGGTTTGTCAGACTATAGGCACCATGACTAGCTAATATTGTTTGTCCTGCCATATGACTAAGTAGGTACCTTTTTATTGCTAAAAAATACTGCACACAAATTTCATCCAGTGCCATCCAACTCGCACCCAGAAGAGCATATGCTGGGTGTGAGTGTGATATCCCCTCTTGGGTGGTGTTGCACACTCTGGATGGCAATTTTATTTTGTAAAATACTGTCAGAATATTCTGCTCAGCAGCCGAATGTGGCAATAACTTAAAATCTTAATGTTAACTGATTTCACAAGAAAATCACTACAATACACCATACTGTAAATGTTTCCCAACTACGCTGTAGGGTGGTAACCTTGGTGGTAACTCACCAGCTCAGACCATTGCATCTCCCATTACATCCTCACAAGGAAGAAACATGCCATGCTTAAATCGCTGGTATTTATATACTTTAGGTCCGCAAAAGATACGGATATATAAAAGACGTTCACAAGACACTCTAAGATCTCCTGATTTCATTTCTGATACTTATTCCTTCTAGAAACGAATTTAAAAGCAACAGCACACTATTTAGTATTTACCGTCACTGCCAACCTCCAGCTCTCATCTCCGACCGGAACTGCGCAGTGCGCGCGTCAAAAGACCGTCCAAGGTTGAGCGAATTTATGAATGATACGAAGTTGTAAGGAAAATGACGTCATAAGAATGAGCGAATTTAAAGATGATACAAAATTGTAAGGAAAGTGACGTCAAAATAATCGTGGCGAAGCAGTGCAGTGCCGAAGGCACTGCCTTAGGAGAGATTACAGGCAATGGTAAGTCAAATATTTTTAGGTTAAGTGGTTGTGTATAAGTGGTTGTGTATCTGATGCATAACCGCTTAACCTAAAAATATTTGACTTACCATTGCTTGCAATCTATTCCTGCAAGTAACTTTTTCCTTATCCCCCGGTAGGCAAACATCAGTAGGTCAGGTTAGGTAAGGTTTGATTATGTTGTGACCATTTTTTGATGTTTCATTGGCTTATGACGTCATTTTCATAACGTTGAAAATCAAATGAATATCCACATAATTTATTATTCAAAAGGGCAATGTTGTACGCTTCATTTTCTTCGCAGGCGTGGTTTTTCTTCGGTGTATTTATGCAGTGCGGGGTGGGTTTTTGGTTTTTTTTACATTTTTGATGCATTTCAACATCATATCTGAATTCAGGACATCAAATAAGGTAAGAATGTGAATTTTTCTTGTTAAAAAAAGGTTTGCGGACGTAAAGTAAATATTTACCAAATCGCTTGGTGTCCACGTTAAGTACCTACTATCAAAACAATCAATATTACACAAATCTGTCATGCCATTCTGTGGCAGAATATTCTACTGTGACGTCATACTTCAGAAGCTCCGCCCACTGTTCTTTACTGTGCATGTGTCTTGGAATAATATTCCATAATATTTTGTGGTGAAACAGGCCTCTGTATTGCTACGAAGCATGGCTGGCTGAGTCCTAAAGACAAGAAACTTGCCAGTAAAATCATCCATCACTGTCTGACACAAAATAAAAGCATGCAATATGGCATACTAACCGCCTGAATGTCCAAGGTAATCTCCAACTTCTGCGACCTCCTTTGCATTATCTAACTTGGACAAACACATTTACATTTCTTCCATCACGCACAAAAAGCTGTGAGTGATCATGATATTGATATACAGCCCACAAGCAACCCACTTATTCCAGTCCAACAACGAATGAAACAAAGAAAAGATTAACCAATAATTAACCAAAAATAAGCCGACATAAAACAGCCAAATTCCTTCTGACGAGCCAGTAATGGCAGGCCCATGTCACTCCACTTTTGATGACATCATAAGGGGGCCTCAGGACAATAATGGCGCGGTGCGCCACAATCGCTTCCAAGCTACTTGCCAACAGTTGCCATTTTTGAAAATATTATTTTGAAATAAAGTTACAAGTAATAAAAATATTGTAATAAAGTTGTTGATTAAATCGATACCATATATAAAAACGTACTGAAAAATGATTTATCCATAGTAAAAACATAAGCTCGATGCGCTTTTACGTTGCTTTCCTGCAACTGCAGAGGATTTTTAAATCGTCTATATCTTCAAAACCGGCCATTTCTTAGCATATTGCTGCTCTTTTTTATGGCTAGAAAATTAGTTGGACTTTCTAATGACATCATTGGTTGAGCGATGTATGTAGAGTGTCACCGACAATCTTCAAATGAAGTTAGTCATTTTTACGTTGTAAAGGAATGGAGTACCCCTTGCGAGCATCAGGGGTGACGTCACTCAGGATCTGTCTCTGATTGGTCGGCGGGGAGTGACTGTACCTTCTATAGATGGCCTTGGTTGTGCCCCCCAAGCTGTGTGTGTGTGCAGGCCCATGTCACTCCACTTTTGATGACATCATAAGGGGGCCTAAGGACAATAATGGCGCGGTGCGCCACAATCGCTTTAAAGCTACTTGCCAACAGTTGCCATCTTTGAAAATATTATTTTGAAATAAAGTTACAAGTAATAAAAATATTGTAATAAAGTTGTTGATTAAATCGATACCATATCTAAAAACTTACTGAAAAATGATTTATTCATAGTAAAAATATAAGCTAGATGCGTTTTTACGTTGCTTTCCTGCAACTGCAGAGGATTTTTAAATCGTCTATATCTTCAAAACCGGCCATTTCTTAGCATATTGCTGCTCTTTTTTATCGCTAGAAAATTAGTTGGACTTTCCAATGACATCAACGGTTGAGAGATATGTGTAGAGTGTCACCAACAATCTTCAAACGAAGTTAGTCATTTTTACGTTGTAAAGGAATGGAGCACCCCTTGCGAGCATCAGGGGTGACGTCACTCAGGATCTGTCTCTGATTGGTCGGCGGGAGAGTGACTGTACCTTCTATAGATGGCCTTGAGTAATGGTAATGTACGGCTCTCTCTATCGTCTGGATAAAAATAGGCCCCGCCCATCCCAATCAGCTGCTGCATGACGAGTTGATGACGACAACCACTTACTTACCAGCAACCACTCTAGGGATAGCGTACGTGACAGTAATGGTGCAGCGGTTGCAAAATATTACATTGTTATTCAAACGGTTTTTGCTTATTGCATGGAGGGGAGGATATGTCATTAGATGAGGTGTTGATGAAGGCAGGTATTTTTAAATATTTTTTTGACAATTTTTTGCCCTTGTTCTTGTTAATAACTGAGTCCGGGACCACCTGAAGTCTAAACCTTTTTTTAGATAACATGTCAATGCTGTCTTGAAATGTGAAATTTAGACAATGGTAATAGGAATAATGAATAGCCATTTCACTAACAACTTGTTAATCTCTAGAAAGTGCAATCAAAATTAAAATCACTCTGCCACACTGCTTCGATCCTGATTATGCAATTAATGTTCATGGGTGGTGTTTCACGGCAGAGCACTGCAGTGTGCTGCGTGTGTCGGAGCATTGGGTTTCCATGGCAGTGTCAACAAACTTCACTCTGACGCTAAGCTATGACAGCATCCCAGAATGCTAGCACGCTGTGGCGCCAGCGCCAGCAGCATGCTAGCAGTATTTGAACTCAAACCTCTGTTCTTGGTAGGCACTTGGTTTTTCAGGACCTCTCACTCTGTTCCAAGTGCGATTCATCATAAACAAAGAGATCACATGCAACGTCATTTGAGTGACACTATGGTATGCCGAAGCTACCATAGCATAGCTGCCAGCGCACACAGTGTCTGGGTGGTGAAACAGGGCCATTATTAATCACATTTGCTTTACTTTGTTTCAGCAGAAACCTGTCTGCACATGGGAGGAGCACAACAAAAGCCCATCAAGTTCATGCATGGCAGTGGATCTCAACAGGAGAAAACCAGAAAGAGCATAGATGCTTAAAAATTGCAGTTGTACACTGCTTTTATCACCTGATGTGAGTGGCTGGCATTGCTCCTGGCAAGAACCACCTGCAAGTGATGAGCTGGCGCCTCAGTCGTTGAGTGTGCTGTAGTGTGAGAGGCGCCCTGATCTCTACTTCATGAATGGTTTCCATTGGAGGTTCAACTGAGAAGTGAGAACTGACTGTGGCCGTGCTGGAGCATGCCAGTGGAGCTTCACATGCTTAGGGCAGCTTTTGAACAGATGCTGACCATGGCATGTCCCATCCAGTTATCACGTGCACAGAATGGTGGGGGAGGGCAACTCTGGGCTCTTGAGTCAGTCAGCCCAGACTGCACAGGGGTACAGATGGCCGCTTACGTTTGGTGTGTCCTGCACCGCATTATCAAGCCCAGTCTGCTGCCACAGGCAATGGGTCGGGCTGCAGACTATCTTGCAAAGGAGGCTGGCATCCTCTCCCATAATGACACACCAATTGGCAATCATCGCTGCGATGATCACGAGGGTGTCCGCTTATCTGCCATGGTGAGGTGGAGAGGCAGCTGGCCTGAGGGATGGTTTTCCTTCATCCGAGGCCCCCTTCCTTTCCCCGCCTGCCAGGCCCGGTCAAACGACCGCTTCACAGTGAACGACTTGCAGTGGATGCCGTCCCACAGCGCAACAAGCGCGCCGACCAGAGGTGGCGGCCAAGAGGCGGCCGCGCTCCCCCAGTCGACGGTCCGGGTGGACGTCGGCAACGCCCACCGCGCGACCATCAGATCGGCTCGCGACCGCGCCGTCGCCGACTGACCGCATGACTGGTATCTGTTCTTGATGTGGGACCGACTGCCACCGCCGGTCGCGGAAGGGCATCGCTCATCGGCCATCGACGTCCACCAGCTTCGCGTGGGTCACTGTTCGGGCTGCCACCAATACACCGAATCGGATGGAACCCTGTCGGCGAATGCCGGCGGTGCCCCGACATCGACTGCGCGGCGGCCAGTGCATCGCGTGCCGGGAGGAGGCTGGCACCCCCGATCGGTCATTGGTCACAAACCGTGTCCCAGCTCATGACTGCATCCAGCGCAGCTCTGTGAGATGTTCTGCTGCAGTCTGCCGCGTGTGTTGAAAGAAGAATGAACATGAGAAAACCTCAAAACTTTATGCCTATTAGTATTTGACCAGTTTTGGAATAAGTTTGGATTTTGAAAATTTGTGTCCCTGTGCTTGTGCCTGTGTGGAAAGGCATGCTTTACGGTGTACCATCTCAATTTGTGCGGCTGCTGACAGGCCACCTGGGTGCCAAGTATGTGCGAATCCGCGAATACGTTGTGTTTCGTCAGTCGGTATCGTTCTGAAAATATTGACTGCAATAGGCTATATAGCGTATGACAGTTCAGCCCAGCAGTAATAACTGACCATTGATTGGGCGAATTTTGTGTGGTGGTTCGCTAATACATAACCTAAAGAGTGTTTTGCCGGAATCGTTTAGTAGCAGAACTGACCGGAATATAAGTAGAATGCAACGGTTTGAATCGTTAACCCTCGCCCGTATAGGGGGGGGGGGGGTCGAACGGACCCCCCCATGGTTTTTCGCGAATAACTCGCGTAAAAAGCGGCCGATCGTGACGAAACTTTCAGTACCCTCGCGTTCATCAATTTTACACCTACCCTGAAAATTTCATGACCCTGACCCAAATGACCTTTGACCTGTGACCTACTTTTCGAGACCATGTTTGGCCGGAATCGCGATTCGGCGTATGTCGGCTCGCATTAGCCGCGCGTTTGCAGTCTTTTCGTGGTTTCAAGCGTTCAAACATGTGATATGATGTTGCCCCCATGCATTAGGGTGGGTGTCAAGGTCACCTGAAGGTCAGGTCAGGTCATTGACCTTTGATGACCTCGGTTCACTTTTTCGAGTTTTACATGTTTAGTCTAGGCCAGTTTTTAGAGCTGAATTCGAATTTAGCAACCATATGAACATTTACGAAGTAGTTTTGGTGCCTTCGTAACATGTTACGAAGCTGTCAGAGGCGGTTGCCACCTACTACGAACACCCTTACTGGTTGACCTGACCTGACCTGACCCGACCCGGCCTAAATGCATGAAGACATCATCTGTGATCAAAACTAACATGATATTCGTGATCAGCACCCCGAAAAACCCCAAAGCAGCCACACTTTACGACGTTCTAACAGGTCCCGATTTTCCCGACTTTTGGGTCATTGACCTGACCTGCAAGGTCAACCAATGACCTAGGACCTTAAAATTGGGTATCATCGGCTTCCTCTCGTCACGGGCAACACGCTCGTTTTTTCCGCGAAGCTCTAGCTCGATCAGGGGCGAAACGGCAAGGGGGGGGTCCAACGGACCCCCCCTTATACGTTCGCGGCTGGAAAAACACCAATACGGGCGAGGGTTAAATTAGTTGAAACGATTGTTCTCTGAGACCACTGTGTAACTTTTGACCTGAGAATCACCAATTATAACGACAATGGTGGAAGCAGTAGGCACTGTAGAGTGTAGGCAGCACTATATAGTTGGCACACTTACGCAAGCACACGACTTACGCAGAGGACATCTGCAGAAGAGTGAGAAATTAGTCAGAATATAACTGACTAAGGAAAATAGGCGATATTTCCAATTGAGCTGGGGCGGAGAGGGGGAGGGGACGTATGGTCAGCTATGCCAATAATTCATTTTCGTTATGCAGCTGTGTAAAAGGGCGTCCGTTTTTTGGGTGAGACCTTCCCCATTGGCCATTTCCAAGCTAAATCGTGGTGGAGAGTCTGGAGACCTCAGCCTCGGTAGTCGGTACTCGGTACCCTGCGCGCTGCGCCACCTTGCGAAACATAAAGCAGCAGTCCTGACCTCTACAGGCGTTACTTTTCATGAAAGCGCGGATGTGTTCGCGCTTATGCGAAGAAAATTCTTCCGAGT